TTTCCCCCCCCCCCCCAAGTATTCCCTTTTTGAACAACATAACTTACTTAGTTGTCGTCCTACAATCCTCAGGAATTAACAGTCTTTCCATAACAAATCTTACATAATTCTTGAAATTCTCACACACACAACGGCAGGACAGTAGGGAAGCACTAAACGACTATATTGCATTTCAGAAAAATATGATTTGAAAGTATATCAAGCAAATGCATAAAGAAACTTGGCACAAATGCATCAAGTCTACAAGCAAATGCATAAAGAAATTCTGCGCAAATGCAAACAAGTCAAGTCAACATATAGGTATCTAATAAGAATAGGTCTGAATATGAATTAAAACTGGAAATAACAAAAAATTAGCAGAATGCTCAATGAACCAGGGAAACTGCAGAGACAGGCATTGCCTTTCCTGTCAAATGCAGAATACTATTTTTTTACCGGTAAACAGCTAAATGCTGAATAATTAGAACATAATTTATTCCCAAATATGGGGAGTTAAATTAATCACTCCTCAGAAATTGTGAAGCAAGAGCAGAGAAAATTATTACCCCATAGAAGGCATGATTCCCTTCATTAGAACTAGTTGATCGATAGTGGTTCATAAAATTGTCGGCGCACACATACACGTCTTCCATGCTTGACCGAGATCCAATGTCCGCCCAAGCACCTGAGCGAAGTAACGGAATGTACTCTGTTGCATGATCACCTGTATCTGCTCTTGGTTCAAGAGAAACATCTGATAACTTGGTTCTCACCTGGTAAATCTCCACTCAAAACTTCAATACACATCAAGAAGATACAAAATCACCACAGATCATACAAATGCTGAAAGTTCAGCCAGAACTAATTCGAAGTAATATAAAAATAAAAAGTAACAGATCATAATATCCAGACAATTTACAAATAGATCAGAAAAAAAAACATGATTGATAAAACAGATAAAATATACTGATCCAATAGTTGATATATTAAATTTCTATTAATTCAGATATTCCGAGAGTCACCGTGACTTTGGGTATTGCAGGCGTATCGAGGTTGAGGAGGTCGTGGGAGCTATGCGTAACATGAGTAGGGGCAGAGCGACCGGGCCAGACGAGATTCCGGTGGAATTTTGGAAGTGTGTGGGGAGAGCAGGTTTGGAGTGGTTGACTAGGTTGTTTAATGTTATTTTTAAGGCGAAGAGGATGCCGGATGAGTGGAGATGGAGTACGGTGGTTCCATTGTATAAGAACAAAGGTGATATCCAGAGTTGTAACAATTATAGGGGTACCATGAAAGTGTGGGAGAGGATGGTTGAAGCGAGGGTGAGGATGACAGTGTCTGTATCCGACAACCAGTTCGGGTTCATGCCGAGTCGTTCGACAACAGAAGCTATACACCTTGTTAGGAGGTTGGTGGAACTGTACAGAAAGAGGAAGAAGGATCTGCACATGGTGTTTATTGACCTAGAGAAAGCGTATGACAAGGTTCCTAGAGTTCTCTGGAGATGCATGGAGGCAAAAGGTGTGGCGGTTCCCTATATTATGGTGATTAAGGACATGTATGATGGGGCTAAGACTCGGGTTAGGACAGTAGGAGGCGACTCTGAGCATTTTCCGGTTGTAATGGGGTTACACCACGGTTTTGCGCTTAGTCCGTTCTTATTCGCCCTGGTGTTGGACGCGTTAACACACCATATTCAAGGGGAGATGCCATGGTGCATGCTATTCACCGATGACATAGTTCTGATTGATGAGTCGCGAGCCGGTGTTAACGAGAGGTTGGAGGTTTGGAGACAAGCACTTGAGTCTAATGGTTTCAAGCTGAGCAGGACGAAAACGGAATACCTGGAGTGTAAGTTCAGCGCTGAGCCGGGGGAAGTGGGCATGGATGTGAGGCTTGAATCACAGGTCATCCCGAGTAGAGGCAGCTTCAAGTACCTTGGTTCGGTTATCCAGAGGGAGGGGAGATCGGCGAAGATGTCACACACCGTATTGGAGTAGGATGGATGAAGTGGAGGTTAGCATCCGGAGTCCTGTATGACAAGAGAGTGCCACCGATACTCAAAGGTATGTTCTATAAAGCGGTAGTTAGACCGGCCATAATGTATAGGGATGAGTGTTGGCCCGTTAAGAACTCGCATATCCAGAAGATGAAAATAGCAGAAATGAGGATGTTGAGGTGGATGTGCGGGCACACTAGGATAGATAAGATTAGGAATAATGATATTCGGGAGAAGGTACACGTGGCTCCCATTGATGACAAGATGCGGGAAGTGAGACTTAGATGGTTCGGATATGTTCAGAGGAGAAGCCCAGATGCTCCGATACGAAGGTGTGAGCGGCTGGTTGTGGAGGGCACGAGAAGAGGTAGAGGGTGGCCTAAGAAGTATTGGGGAGAGGTGATCAAGCAGGATATGGCGAGGCTCCAGATTTCCGAGGACATGACACTTGATAGGAAGATGTGGAGGTCGACTATTAGGGTTATAGGTTAGGAGGTAGCTGAGTCTTGCCTTACTTCGTACCATTGTGGGACTAGCCAGGTAGGGTTTTTGTCTAAGATAGCTAGTGGCAATGTTGTGTCTTACTATTTCGCTTTTCAGTGCAGGACCTATTTACTAGCTATCGCTTTTGCTTTGTATTTTTCTTCTGGATTTCATGGGGTTCCTATTTTTCCTATGATTGTTGTGGTGATACTAATAGTCTCCTTTTGTCCTTTTGTCTTTTTGTTTTCTTGAGTCGGGAGTCTTTCGGAAACAGCCTCTCTACTCATTCGGGGTAGGGGTAAGGTTTGCGTACACACTACCCTCCCCCATACCCCATTGTTGTTGTTGTTGTAGTAATTTAGATACTATCCTATTAAGATTTTTCATGTAGATCTAAGAATAAAATTCATATAAGAATTAATGAAAGTGGTATACTCTTCAAAGAGAATAACACTGAAGAACCCAAAACCAGAAAACTACATCTCCTAGGTGATGCTATTCAAATCAGAGAAGGATTAATATCATTCACTTCACTGAATCAGCAGAAAGTCATCATTGCTTCCAACCATGACGCCACAGCCATAAAAATTCCCAGAAAACATAACATTAAACAACTTTTTTTCTTTAGTTATATTGAAAACGTATGCATGTATATTCCAAATTTCAACATTTTACTTATGAAACCATAAAACAGGGTTGGAACACATCTTCCCAATAAGACAATCAAACTGTCAGATGACAAACTGTCAGATTACAAGAAGAGATAGTTGCAAAGAACACAGCAGCTTCTATTGCTTTAAAACACATAAAGATAGCCTTTCTAACTTGGCAGCTATCTTTATTGGGCAGAGTCAGATTACCACGAAAATGTCCAATATTTGTAAATATAAGCAATCATATGATAATAACATATCCAATGAACAAAACAATAGAGAAGTACTTCTTTTGCTTTGTTTAATGCACTAAGCCAACTAGCACAAATAATCTATTAAAACCACTCCAAAAGATGCATAAGCTTTACTATAACAACAACAATAACGACTACAGCTCAATGCCAAACTAGTTAGGATCGGCTACATAGGCTCTATTCAAGGGCGGAGTTAAATAGGAGTAAGGGGGTGCAATTGAATCCCCTCCTTTGAAATATTACACTAAGCTAATAAAGAAAAAGTGAGTTTTCTTTGTTAAATATAAACGGTTGAATCCCCCTGACTAAAAAAAAAAAAAATCTAGTGTAGTGGCTGAGCGAGTTCAAAATTGCTTCAGGTCATAGATTCAAATCCTAGTGAAACATTGTTGTATTTTTTTGAAACCCCTTGTATAAATTCTCCCCTGGACCACGAGCTCTATTCAGACCTATTTCCATCTAATACTCAAGAAATTAAGTTTTTTACAACAAATTAAGTTTTTCTAACACCGGATCTAAGGAAAGTGCACCGACACAACTAGGCCTTTATCCCAACTAGTAAAAAAATTAATACTTTGCAACTATACTAAATTAAAAAACTAAAAAATCCAATAAATGCAAAGGCTAAAGTAGACAATTTACCAAAGAGGGGTGTCGAACAAGGGACCTCTTGGTGGCAGAAGCCACTAAACGGTGGTGCCCACCAGCAAGAGGGTTCGGCGGCTTGCTATTACTGGAGCTCTCACTTTCTCTGCAATTATCAAACATCAATTTACTGTCTTCCATTTTGATTCTCAACCATAACTGTACGGAAACAAAATATATGAATCAATGTAGAAATTTGTTATAAAATTAGGGATCTGTGGTGCAATTTCGATGAATCTAGGGTTTTTATTTAAATTAAAGAGGTTTCTTTTAGGGTTTTAACGGGCGGGAAAAAGAGGAAATTGTAGGGTGTGCGAGGAAACAGAGAGATTTAGGGATGGATAGAATGCAATTGGTTTGGGATCTGTTTTAGGAGAAAAGATTGGGGATTTCTGAGGCGTTGCTTTTTGAGGTGGGGACTGATCTTAACAAAGGCGGTGATTTGGTTGACTACTTGACAGGTAGAAAATGTAACTTACGTATGATATAAGTTACTCATATAGTGTGAATTTTTAGTATTATTAAATTATCAATCATTTTAAAATAAATATTTATTTATAATTGTGCTTAATTAATATAATTATGAATAATTATAAATCGTATATAATAGAACTTAAGCTCAATAACTCTATATTGTCAATAGACTAAAATTATATTTTTCGTTCAAATCTATTATTGTCTTATAAGCAATTAATATAGAAATTCAACTCAATAATTATATATTGTGAACACAAATGTTATGGGGTATATCTCTTTTCGTCTCACAAGAATTATACTCTTTACTTGTTAAAATTTATAAAACTTGAGAAAAAAGGATAAATATTTAAAATAGAAAATTATATAAAACAACGTGACCTTTTGTTTTTCTTTTAAAAAATAAAGTTCTCTTTGAAGTGTAATGACTTATTTTACTTTTCTTTCTCTCTATTTTTTTTTTTACAAATAAGACAAGACCTAACATCTCGACTAATTATCTTGTAGAAAAACTAATGGAACAAACCATAAGAGTATGAAAAGATGAACATAGAATCAAAAAATGGGAGTCATAGCATTTGACGTTTAAACTTTAAAGCGTTGGCATTTGCCTACACGTTTTATCAACTAATCAATTTTAATCCATAAGCAACTAAGAATATCTCAACCAATAATTTCATTTATAGTAATTCAACGTTAACAATCCAACATCTAGGAAAACGTTTGACACAAGTATTATTTCTTGTGTCTTGAGGTACATCTGAACTAGGGCTGGATACACGTCTTATTACGCATTATTAATTTTAAATTATCAATTCAATTAATTTGAATTGGTAAATATCCAAGAACTATTTATGGTAAAAAGTCGTTATTTATTTGGGATCAAGGTATTTTTTTCTTCTGGCTTAAGCTTGAAGAGAGTGTAATTTTTCCACAACACTCATATGAACAATTGGGCTTTGACTCCGTTTGAATGGACTTATTTTAAGCGATTTTTAAGCATAAGTCATAAGTTAAGAATTCTAGTTTTTAGCTTTTGGCTTATTTTTACTATTTTAGCTTAAAAGTATTTTTTTACTTTATTCAAACACTACAAAATAACTTAAAAGCATTTTGGCTTAAAAACACTTAAAATAAGTCAATCCAAACGGAATCTTTATCGATCCTTGCTAATGTAAATGGACTTGATAAGTCATCATATTGGTTAGCTCGACTGCAAAAAATGGCCCGATACTACGTTAGTTCATTATTAGGACATTAGTATCTATGATGATAGTATGTAATAACCTTAGGCACACGTGACACTTTATTGGGAAACGTTTAAATACTCATTTAGCAAAGTTTAATCACCTTAATTCCATCCTTAATGTCATCACATGACAAGCCTTTTTTTTATAGACAAAATATTGTTTGGGACAATTTACGCAATCAATTTAAGTAGCAACATAACAAGTATAGAAATGTAGATGCCGAGTAAATCAATATACCAAAACTAGAAGAGTTGGGCTTATATTGAACTCAACCAACATTTAGGGACCACCACAAACTTCTCCCTACTTCTTTTCGTCTTTTTATTTTNGGGGTAGGGGGGTGTGGGAGGGGGGAGGCAAGACAACTATTTATAGTAAAAAGAGAGAAACTTTTGTGGTGTATGATTTGACGGCCAAAGGATGTCATTTTTTTTTGTAGAAGATCTTTTAGGAGAGTTAAAGTTCCTAAAGTTCGAACTTAAAATTATTTATTTAATTATATGGAGATAAAAAATGTAATGATTCTCATTGATACAACTTTAGGAATTAAAACACATAAGTATAACATAATTAATTTGAGGTGATCAAAGCACCTTAATTTAGACAAAAACCATAAATAAAAAAAAAAACACTGCTTTTATCTTTATGTAGTTGATATGCTATATATAGAAAGAGCAGCACCTTAATTTAGACAAAAACCATAAAAAAAAAAGCAAAACACTGTTTTTATCTTTATGTAGTTGATATGCTATATATAGAAAGAGCAACGTCACTATTTTCTATTCATCAATCTCTACAATTCAGTTCACTTTTGAGCAGTCAACATCTGGACTAATATCAAAAGGAACATTGGCACCACATTTTCCAGGGATCCCAGCGGCACGACTGAGTTCATCTCCGGTCGCACGAGAGGCAAGACTCTTCACACACGAGCACGCGATCTGGCGGTCCGCGGTGGTTGTTGCGCTAGCGATGAGGGATTTAACCCCATCGCAGCAATCAGATGGCAAACTAAAACCAAACAACACATACGTAAGGCATGGTTGCAGGTTGCTGTACACCGTGTCGCATGTTAGCTCCGCCTTAACCGGTGGTGCCGCCGCCACCATGCAAATGAAGAGGAGAGAAAGAAATTTCATGCTTAGCATTCTAGGGATAATTAGTTGAAAAAAGAGATTAATCTCTTGGATGTTTTGATGAAAAGCTTTGGCAAGAGATGGTATTTATAGGCACTGAACTTTGATTTCTCCTTTGTTGAATGTTGTTTATTGTTTGGCTTAGCCTTTTAGAAAAATATGCTACATAAAAATAGTATACAAGTAAGGGGGGAAATGAAGTTTCTTCTTCTTCTGTAGTAGTACATTTTAATAAGTTTCTTCTTGTTTTTTCCTTCTAGCTAATTTATGTTATTTCTTGTTATGGTTGGGTCAAATTAAAATTTAGTTCGTGCCAGGATTAGGATCTAGATCTGATTATCTTGATATTTATTTTATTTCATTGTTTGACTCATATAGGTTTTCCTAAATAGAACTTTGACTTTAAAATATTTTCTACTTTATGAATTTAAATTTGTATCTTAAGATACTTGTACATTGTTTTTGGTCACTGAAATTTAGATAGATATTTCTATCTGAGATTATTCCTTATTTCCAAAGTTGGAATACGTGGTCGTAAAAATTAATTCTTTCATTGCTTTAGGACAAGTAATAGTGAGTTCTTGAGAATTGTGGAATTACAAGACAATTAATTACTCTTTAAGTATTTCCTTAGCTCTTTTAATTATTCTTAGTTCTTTTCTAAATGTTTTATTTTACTTTTATTGTGTTTTCGGTCTAAATTATGGGCACCATATATAATTAACAATATTGTCTAAATATAGTACATTTCATCTAATTAAAAGTCTTTACCCAATTTAGTACATTTGGATTTGATTTTACTTCATTCGATTTAATTCGTCTGAAGATTTTAGGCATTGAAGTCCTGCCTAAATTGAACTCTTGGCTCAATATTTGAGAGATTTATTTGGAGTTTAGCTTGTCATTAAATAGAGATCAATAAAATATCATCTATCCTTTGAGATTTTTCCTTACACCCAAAAGTGTGGAGACGATTTCCTCATCAATTACTTTTATCTTTGGGTATTTTTTACTTTTAGCTCNATATATATATATATATTTGAAAAATATGGTATATAGTGATGATTAAAATAATATACAAGTAGGGGAAAAAATGAAGATTTTTCTTCTTATGTTGTGCATTTTAATAAAGTTTCTTTTTTATCTTTTCATTTGTGTAATTTCTTTTTACGGCTGGGTCAAATTAAAATTCAGAGTCTTGCCAGGATTAGGATCTAAATCTGATTATCTTGATTTTTATTTTATTTCATTGTTTGACCCATCTAGATTTTCCTAAATAGAACTTTTGACTTTAAAATATTTTATGCTTTATGAATTTAAATTTGCATCTTAAGATACTACATTGTTTTTGGTCGCTGAAATATAAATATTTTCATCTGAGATTTTCCCTTATTTCCAAAGTTGGAATACGAGGTCGTAAAAATTAATTCTTTCATTGCTTTAGTATGACATGAGTGATACTGAGTTTTTGAGAATTGTGAAATTACAAAAATAATTAGTTACTCTTTAGAAATTTCCTCGGCTCTTTTTGTTATTCTTAGTTCTTTTCTATATAATTTATTATACTTTCGTTGTGTTTCCGATATAAATCAGGAGGACCATATATAATTAACAATATTGTAATGGAAAAGGGTCAAAAATGCCCTTAACGTATTAGAAATGACTCAAAAATGCCTTCCTTCCACCTATGGGTTCAAATTTACCCTTAATATTTTTTTAGGCTTAAAAATGCTCCTCTCTTAACGGAAAGATGATATGGCATTGATGGTCATTTTAATTAAACATGTAGCATTTATTTAGTCTGGAAAAAAGTGAATTTTTTTTACTAAAAACTGAAAAAATAAAAATATTTTTTTTCTAGTTTTTACAAAATAACTGCTTTAAAAAAAGCTGAAAAATATTTTCTAAAATAATATTTTTGTAAAAATTAAAAAAAAAACTGAAAATTAATTTTCTAAAGCAATATTTTTGTAAAAGCTGAAAAAAATAGTTCTTCTTCTTCTTCCTTCCTTGTTTGTCCATATGCTTTCTGAGTTCATTTTTTATATATATTTTAGTTCTTCTAATGAGTCAGTATATCAAAACTGAAATATTTTTATTTTTTTTCAGTTTTTAGTTAAAAAAAATTCATTAGTCTCAAAAAATGTAGCATTTATTTAGTTAAACATGTAGCATTTATTTAGGAATAGATTGGCTTTCTGAGTTCTGAAAAAATGGCATTTTAATTAAACATATAGCATTTATTTAGTCTAGAAAAAAGTGAATTTGTTTTTACTAAAAACTGAAAAGAACGAAAATATTTCAGTTTTGATGTACTAACTCATTAGAAGAACTAAAATAAATAAAAAATGAACTCAGAAAGCATATGGACAAACAAGGAAGGAAGAAGAATAGGAAATATTTTTTTTCAGCTTTTACAAAAATATTGCTTTAGAAAATTGCTTTTCAGTTTTTTTTCAGTTTTTACAAAAATATTATTTTAGAAAATATTTTTTAGCTTTTTTTAAAGCAGTTTTTTTGTAAAAACTGGAAAAAAAATATTTTCATTTTTTTCAGTTTTTAGTAAAACAAATCACTTTTTTCCAGACTAAATAAATGCTACATGTTTAATTAAAATAAAAAAGGGTCAAAAATTCCCTTAACGTATTAGAAATGGCTCAGAAATGCCCTCCTTCCACCTATGGGTTCAAATTTGCCCTTAATATTAAAATGCTCATCAATGCCATGTCATCTTTCCGTTAAGAGAGGGGAATTTTTAAGCCTAAAAATAATATTAAGGGCAAATTTGAACCCATAGGTGGAAGGAGAGTATTTTTGAGCCATTTCTAATACGTTAAGGGCATTTCTGACCATTTTGCATGGGGCGCCCTATTTGGTCGCCCTTTTTTAACTTATACCCGTTTTGTTTTTCCGTTTGCATACATACCCAATTTTTTTGTTAAAAGTATTTTAAAAAGACGATTTTGTCCTTCTTTAATAAAAGACTATTGACAAAACTGTAGACTGCAGGATAAAATTCAGCATGTGTTGGTATGAACTTTTAGCAAATGAACTAAATAACTTCAGCATGCATTAGAAAAAACTCATTAGAAAATTACATACTATAAGATAAAAACTTAAGCATGTTTAGTCTGAAATTTTAGAAAATTAACTAAAAAACTTCAGTTTGTTTAGACTAAAGTTTCGGATAAAATTCATGACAAATTAAAACTGTAGACTACAGGACAAAACTTCAACATGTTTTGGTATGAAGTTTTAGCAAATGAACTAAATAACTTCAGCATGCATTAGCAAAAACTCATTAGAAAATTACATATTGCAAGACAAAAACTTAAGCATGTTTAGTCTGAAATTTTAGCAAATGAACTAAAAAACTTAAACATATTTAGTCTGATATTTTAACAAATGAATTAAAAAATTTAAGCATATTTAGTATGAGTTTTAGCAAATGAACTAAATAACTTCGGCATGCATTAGCAAAAACTTATTAAAAAATCACATACTGCAAGACAAAAACTTAAGCATGTTTAGTCTGAAATTTTAGCAAATGAACTAAAAAACTTAAGCATGCTTAGTCTGAAGTTTTAGCAAATGAACTAAATAACTTCGGCATGCATTAGCAAAAACTTATTAAAAAATCACATACTGCAAGACAAAAACTTATGCATATTTAGTCTGAAATTTTAGCAAATGAACTAAAAAACTTAAGTATGTTTAGTCTGAAGTTTTAGCAAATGAACTAAAAAATTGAAGCATGTTTAGTCTGAAATTTTAGCAAATGAACTAAAAAACTTAAGCATGCTTAGTCTGAAGTTTTAGCAAATGAACTAAATAACTTCAGCATGTTTAGACTGAAGTTTCGGATAAAACTCATGACAAAACTGTAGACTGCAGGATAAATAATTTCAGCATGCATTAGCATGAAGTTTTAGCTATAGTGTGAAACAACTTCATGCTATATTAGCATGAAGTTTTAATTTCAAAATGAAACAACTTCATGCTACATTAGCATGAAGTTTTAGATTTAACGTGAAACAACTTCATGCAAGTGTGATTCTGAAGATGAATCTGGATAAGTTTCTGGTTTTTTGATAAAGCTGTTGAGAGGAGAGGAGGAGATCTTTTTTCACGAATGAGGTTGCATATCACGCGATTAGTGTGTGATGCAGGTTTTATATCTTTTGTCAGGGGTGTAATTGTCATATTATTACAGATTTTTTTTGAGCTGGCTACCAAATCAATAATTTTTAAATATAGTGTACATGTTAAAAGGTGATACAAATATAGGGTACGACTGCAAATCCCCCTTACCCAATTTAGTATTTTAGATATAATTTTAATTCATTTGAAGAATTTAGGCATTGAAGTCTAGGGGTGGGTATAATACTGACCGAACCGAAAAAACCGGCCAACAACAACAACAACAACCCAGTAAAATCCCACTAATGGGATCTGGGGAGTGTAGTGTATATGCAGACCTTACCCCTACCCCGAAGGAGTAGAGAGGTTGTTTCCGAAAGACCCTCGACTCAAAAAAAATAAAAAGACAAAATGACAAAAAGAAAATAATATTAGTATCACAACAACAATAATAGGATAAATAGGAACACCATAAAATCTAGAAGAAAGATGCAAAGCAAAGGGAGACAATATTAGTAAATATTAGTATCACCACAACTATCATAAGAAAAATAGGAACACCATGAAATCTAGAAGAAGGATGCAAAGCAAAAGCGATAGCTAGTAAATAGGACATGCATTGAAAAGCGAAATAGTAAGTCACAACATTGCCAATAGCTATCTTAGACAAAAATCTTACATGGCTAGCCCCACAATGGTACGAAGTAAGGCACGACTCAACTACCTCCTAACCTATAACCTTAATACTCGACCTCCACATTTTCCTATCAAGTGTCATGTCCTCGAAAATCTGGAGCCTCGCCATATCCTGCCTGATCACCTCTCCCCAATAC